GCAGCAGTGCTGTGAAACTGAAGCCCAATAAAAAGGGTAGAGCTGAGAGAGACTGCTGTGGGTGTTAAACGTTATTATTATTTGAGCCAAATTTAGCCACCGCTTTGAGGAAGCCTCTGACACGCTAATGAACAGGCTGCTTCCCGTCTTGTTTCTCCCCCTCTGATGGCGAACGCATTACATTCTTGAGCCCTGCTCGCTCGGAGGCGGTGGACCGGGGCTTTTTTTTTTTCCACAGCTGTGGAAGAAACAACAGGCTAAGCTCATGTGACGGCGTGGACGAGCCCACGAGGCAGCGCAGAATCAAACATCAGCATAATATTAGTTTGACGTTTAAACCTAAATATAGAGACGCAGGTTCACAACGTGATTCAGCTTCAGGCTCTCTGCAATAAAATCCTCCGACATGCGGCTGATTCTTCATTAGGAGCTGTTTTAACAGGATTAACTGCTCATTTCTCTGAGTTGTGGTGTGAAAGCTGGGAATTATGTCGAGTCAAATGACTTGTTAAACTGAGCACAATGCAGTTTAGTCTTTTAGAGCTTCGTTTATAATAAATCAAGATGTGTCCTTCAGACGTGACTTGTTTTGGCTATTTCAGGAACTAACACGAACTTGAAAACAATTGTCCAATATTGCTTCTCTCACCTTGGCGGGTATGCACACTGTTTTATTTGTAAATCATTTATTTGTTAATGTTAATGCAGTACTTTGTGTTTCAAAACAATTTTTATTTTTTATTTGAGCCCACTTTAAAATTAATTTGCACCAAGTTAAAGCTCATTTGTTTGACTACAAACAATTAATGGCGGCACGGTGGAGCAGTTGGTAGAGCTGCCACCTATCAGTGAAAAAGTTGCCGGTTCAAATCCCGGCTTGGGGTCTTTCTGGGTGGAGTTTGCATGTTCTCTCGGTGCATGCGTGCGTTTTCTCCGGGTACTCCGGTTTCCTCCCACAGACCAAAAACATGCATGTTAGGCTGATTGGCAACTCTAAATTGTCCCTAGATGAAAGAGAGAATGTTTTGTTGTCTCTTTTGTCTCCGTGTCCCCGTGATGGACTGGAGACCTGTCCAGGTGTCCCCCGCCTCTTGCACAGTAATGGCTGGATATGGGCACAAGCGACCCAAGAAAGGAAGAAGCGGGTAAAGATGATGGATGGATTGATTTTATTTAATAAACATTGACAAAACAGTTATTCCAACATGACAACACTTCAATATTCAGAAATATTTTTGTATACTTATGTTGAACAATTAATTTAATCTGACTGCTCAATGTTGGAGGTTTTGTTTATTTTAGAATAATATTTTCACATACTGTCATTTGGTTTTAGGATACTTGGTGTTTTGGGGTAAAATCACTGTTATTGTAGCAAACGTGTCATGGGCTACACATTTATATTCACACAAGCTTTAAAGAGATATATCAGGCTGTGGAAAGGTTATTAGCAGTCAACATCTTACCTGTTGGAGAAAAATATTTGAATGGCCTCAGTTCAGAGAAATAGAGTTCAAGTCTGACAGGAACAAGCTAACAGTCTGAAACCATCCAACACCAGAGAGTGAATTACTGCAGTAAAAACTTTGAATAAAACAGTCTAAAATCTTATGTTTCGTGAGAACGTTTTAATATTTACAATGATGACATTTTTGTATTTCACATGTATTTTGGAAGAAATAAGATATTCTTGCCAGAATTGTCTTCCGGTTCCACCAGAAGTGGTTTAAGGTTCTTTTTTTGTCATTCACTTCACATGTGGTACATGAGGTGGAACGAAATTGTAGATATATATCTAAGATATACGTTAAAGTCTAATGATGTAAAATAATACAGTATATTAAGTGCTACAGCTAGCTGCTGCTAGCTTTACTTGCTCTTGCAAATACCTTCAGAGATTTATTTTTTAATTCAATAAATTTCGATTTTTGCACCTTCCACCCACACACAGGACAAAAATGTTTATAAATGAGTGGAAACCCGTAAATGGTGTTAAAACATCAAGAAGTTCTGGGTGAATCTTTAGCCAAGCCGCGAGTGTTCTTTCTTTGTGTTTTGATACATAGTTGATGTGTATTGTATCGCCACCTACAGGTGTGGCATGGGTATTACATCATTTTGTAAGACAACAGTTTGGCAAACTTTTTTCCAAGTACTTTCAAAGATGTTTAAAATGAACTTGTCAAAGCAGAAGACGCATCAGTGTTCCAGGTGCCAAAATATCCAATGACTGCTGTAGGAACCAGCACCGGGTTGTTTTCCACCTCCAGATTCTGTTGTGAGCTCTTACGATCCCGCAGACGTGTCTGGTTTTCACATGTGCGGGTTTTAAAACCAACTAGCCACCTTTTTCAATCCTGTTCCGTACACACACATGCACCCTCATTCACAGTGTGTGTTTTCCTGCGCTGTGGTCCCAGCAGGCGCTGACCATGAAGCAGAGTTCACCACTAAATCATCCCGACGCTGCCGCCCTGCTCATTAATCTCCTTCGGGTGCACTGAACGTGCACGCACAGGCTCCACACAGCATCCGAACAGGGGTACATGCTCATTTAACATCCATGGTTCCCAACCGTGGTCCTTGAGGAACACCACCCTGCATGTTTAAATTGTTTCTCTGCTTTAACACCTGATTTGAATGAATGGGTGCTTACAGGCTTTAGCAGAACTTCAGGAAGTAATAAAATCACTGAATCAGGTGTGTTGGAGCAGGGAAACAACTAAAACATGCAGGATGGCGTTCCTCAAGGACCAGTGTTGGGAACCACTTTAAACAACTAACAGCCAATAAATCCTCTTGTGGTTCTTAACATCAGTAGCCTGATTCATTTATGATCAGTTCAGGTTTTTAAGGAAGTCAGTTTTCCCTTAAGCTTAAAATTGGAAGTGTTTTGCTACAAAAAGGCTTTTATTTACAGAAACTGTACAGGTTGATGTTATCATATGAATTATTGTTTTGTTGGCACTTCAGATTTACAAAAATAGGTCAGTTTTTAGCGTCTGAGCCTCTTACAGAGTTTGTTTTCCTTGTGTGTGTGTGTGGTGGGAGTCTTTTTGTATGAATTGTCCCATAGATCAAAGCCTGATCCAGGAGCAGGACTTTACTTCTATTAGCCGTGTTATTTCAAAGCTGCGCGGTTCACCCAGCAGCTGCAATCAATTATCTGAAGCCCACACCCCTCCATGCCTCATCCTTTCTGCTCCACTCATTCATCACAGCTCCACAATACTCACCGTTTTATTGGTTTTTAATTTTTCTTTGGAAATTATACCACTTCGGTTCGATAGTGTAAAAAAAAAAAAAAAACTTCATTGTTAATGTTTTACGCTGCATATATTTTTAATTAGCTCTCCTTTCTTTCATTTTTTTAAATTTCCCTCATAATTCATCTTGTTTATTTCTAAGCTTTTGTTTTTGATCTTTATTTTTATACTATCGCTCCTACTTTTTTACTTACCTCGTCTTATTTCTGCTCTTTTCTTTACACCTCTGTGTGGAAAGCTTCTCCATGTTCCTTTCTTCTCATCCTCCTCCTCTCAAGCATCCCATTCCAACGGGGCCCATCAGACTCCTAACGAGAACACAAATGAGTCCTCCAGGGGCCTCTAATGATGGCTCCCTTCTGTATGTATGCGGCTCGTGACTCCTGCAAGTGAGGACCGAGTCTGTCTTCACAGGGATTGGGCAGTTTAGTTCCTGGTCTGTGTTCCTGAGTGTGACGTACCTCTGTATTAGTGTGGACATGTTGTTTTTTTGCACCTCCTGACCTTTGATGCAGTGCAGTCATTGGTTGCTTATCCCTCCTGTGGTGTTTTATGGTTTACCCAACTGTTTTAAAGGGGAGGTTTAATTCTGTGGAAAGGTTATGAACGATTAATAGGATAAATTTTGTAGTTATCATTTTGAATGTCTTCAGTTTTGGAAAACAAAAACATTTATTGTGACTGAACTGATGAGCTAACAGCTGGGTCAAGCGAGGCTAAGACTAAAGTTGCATTGCTGCTCTTTTAAAACAACTCCAATTTTCCATAAACTTCCTAGAAATTTATTAGATTTGCTCACACTAGGCCTGTCACTATAACAAATTTTGCTGGGTGATTGTCTCAGAAATTATTGCGATAAACGATAATATTGCTTGAAATTTTACAATAATTAGTAATTGTCAAATTTAAGAAGAAATGTTGGTCAATTTTTGTGTGTAGTACCTTTTTTTGACCACGAGATGGCAGTATAAGACTGTTTGAACCCAAGGATGGATAGTGAGGGAGCGAGCAGCCTGTCTCTTTAAGAAAATGGGAGGGAGGCCCCTTGACGTGACATGGGCTGTCTCTCTTCGGTTCTCAAAATGGCGAACGCTCTGTGTGATTTGAGCTCTTTAGCATTTTTCACACAAAGCTTTTAATAAAAGAATCAGTAAACAAGTTCTCAGCTTTTTTTTGCAGAGAAAAACAACTTTTTAGATGAAGGCACGTGTTTCAACCATGAATTTTGGAGCTTTGACAAGACGGAGGTTTTTTCCTGAGGTCGATCTGTTAGCTTAGCTCGTAGCTTAGCTGCTTTTAACGATCCAAAAACACAATTTTGGACGGTTGAAACAAGATTTTAAAGAGAAAAGAGAATAGAAGGGATCAGCGAAGAGAGTCCGGAGTTGAGCCTTTTGTCATCCAGTGTCTTCAGTAGAAAGTGAGAGACACAAAGAAACAATAAAGCTGATAAATGAAAATGCGGTCGATAATTTTAATTTATCATGCTATTAATTGATTTATTGTTTATCGCCACATGCCTAGCTCAGACTAGTCTTTAGCTTGTCAGGCTCTTGGTTCTCCAAGTTGAGCTTGTTCAAAATTATATCTGCTACAGGTAAGATGTTAACTGTTCATAACTGTCTCTTTCTGAGAGCATGCACGCCTCTGTGTTTACTTGTATGTTGAACAACAGAAACAACACTTTAACTTTAATCTTCTACTTGTATCACATCAATTTATTTTTGTCTTCAGGCCTTCGGGAACGCAAAGACTGCACACAACAACAACTCCAGCCGCTTCGGCAAGTTTATTCAGGTCAACTATCAGGAGAGCGGCACCGTGCGGGGGTAAGACACAGTCACACACACATCAGTGTTTCTTCAGTCACTGCCAACACGGTAACATCCAATGAAAAATACAAATACAAATGTGGATACATTTGTTGGTACCTTCTACAATGAGTAGAAAACAAATCCTGATGTGAGCTTCATTTGTGTCTCCTCAGTCCCAGAAACGTCTTCCAGAAACTTTAGTAAATTACCGTTTGGCTGTTTGGTTTTTCTGTCATTAGTGGAGCCCTCCTGGGTCTTCTTCCATCTGTGCCGTTATGAGTCAAAGTGCAACAGATGCTGTAATCTGAGAGTGGTATGTCAAAGTTCTTGCTCAATAATCCAGGTAGAAAAATCCAGCAAAGTTAAGTCAGATCCTCTGGATGTTTTTATTTTATTTTTTTGTGTGTGTTGAAACATTTCATCTTTCATCCAAAAGACTTCATCAGTCCAAGAAGCTGCAACAAACTCAGTCTTATAAATAGCACCTTAACGTAGTGGGTCAACCAGTTTGATGGTGCTCAGATTGTTTCTGGAGTCCGCCCTCTCCCCCGGCGACTTGTTTCAGACAGTCATGGCCAAAGTGGATCAAAACATCAAAGTTCATGCTCAATAATCCAGGTAAAAAACAATCCAACAATGTTCAGTCAGGTCCTCTGGATGTTTCTTTTCTGTTTCCTTCTTAGATGACCTGACTGATGGGATTTTTTTTTTACCAGGATTGTTGAGCATGAACTTTGTTTTGAACCACTTTGGCTATGGCTGCCTCAGAGGAGGTGATGGGGGAGAGAGCGGGCCCCAGAAACCACCTTATCACCTGCAAACTGGTTGGTCCACTATGGGAGTGTGCTGCTTGTGGGACTGAGTTTTATTTGTGGCTCCTCGGCCTGATGAAGTCCTTTAGATGAAGGGCGAAACATCTCAACAAAAAAACAAACCGTTCAGATGACCTGACTGAACTTTGTTGGATTTTCTACCTGGATTATTGAGCATGAACTTTGATGTTAAAAAAAACAAACAACTCCCATCTTTTGCACAGAGTTTCAGACTCTTCCCTCCAGGAATTGTTTCTGTTTTCCACATGTAGGACTCGACAATATAAAAGGTTTAGTTCATGCAGCAATGACTGAGTAAAATACACATTTTTACACTCAGGATGTGAACGTCAAAGTTGTGGTGTTGCTGTTGTTTTTTGTTGTTGTTGGATATTCATTGATTTCTGGGTATTTTGCTATGTTTGTAGTTTTTAAGCTTATTTATAATCATATTAATGTTACGGTCATCTTTGCAAAAGAGTTCTGAAGTATGTGGTGTATTGATGCAACCCAAAATTATGAATGTGTACAGATAAGATGAGCTGAACATGCAAAGCCCGTGTATTTCTGAGTAGCAACTATTGGTGACCAGCTGGTGAACGTCATTCACGAGGGAGTCTCCAAAATGTTTCCAAAATGTCTCAAAATGTTTGCAGGGTTTCTCAGTTTGCTAGCATGAGTTGCAGAGGCTCACAGTTTTGTCACTTGAATTTTGTGCACATAAAAAAAACACAATTATGCCACAGATTTTTTTTTTCAGATAGTTTCAGGGTTGTGAGAATCTCAAACACGTCTCAATCCCTCTTCAGCCGTATACTGACACCTGCACTAGAGCTCTCCTCAGAAAATATTTGAGGCCACATCCCTGAACGTCCAGGATAAAAGATTTAAAAAGCCACGCAGATTGTAACAAATAATGACTAAAAACCTGGTCCAACACTGTTTTTCCATTTAAAAAATGTACTCCAGCAAAGGCTGATACGAAGTCGACCAAAGCAAGTACGAAGTGGATGGAGGTGGGCGACAAAATAATGTGCGCAGCCAAGACTAAAATTTTACAAGTTCAGAACACAAACTAGGCCACGATTCAAAAAAAGGATTGCTGCTCAAAACACGTCATATGTCTCGCTGCTCACTTGGTCGCAAAGTTAGCCCGTTTACTCACAATTGGAAATTATCGATTCATCTCCAACAGTCACGGCCCAGTGAGCTATCACCCTAACAACATGGGTCTGCCCACAGATGTGCCTGCTCTTTAATCAGCTTAGTTTTCTTAAACCTGATTGTAGCCAACTTATTAAACAATAAAAATGGAAGCCAGAAATCATCTTAATCAATTATAGGGCTAACATTAATGAGTCTCACTCTACCCTCTTTCCTGGCTTTACTGATGAAACCCATTGACCTTATCTGTTTTCAGAGCTTATGTGGAGAAGTACCTTCTGGAAAAATCCCGTCTGGTTTACCAGGAGCACAATGAACGGTGAGTGAACCAGCTCCATAAAACACTGAGTAGGTCCTATTTAGCCTTACTTTGATGAGCTGCTAGTTACAGCTTTAACCACATTTGTTAAGGTTCGGTTTAATTTCTCTTACCAAGTGGACTTGTTCACCACATGTTGCCATGTTATCAACAACTCGACCCACCAAGATTTGGTGTCGATCTGTTCTCTGATTTAGATCGTCGTTTGTAGAGATGTCTTTATGTTTCATAAAAACTGAGATCGTCAGCAGCTAATTTAGACTGTGTGTGATTACTGTTTGGGATCTGCTCTCAGTCTTGAAATACACTCCCATCAAAAAGCAGTTTAGTGTGATGAAGTCAAAATATTTTTGAAAAGTATATATTTTACAGCTATATCCACCAATCCTTAAATGGTTTCTATCTATATTGTAAAAAAGGTTTGTGAAGCAGTGAAACGTGTATTTTCACACATAAAGGTCCATCCATCCATCCATTTTCTTTTACCAGCTTATTCCATTTTGGGTCACGGGGGTCGCTGGTGCCCATGTCCAGCAATCACTGTGCGAGGGGCGGGGTACACCCTGGACGGGTCGCAAGTCCATCACAGGGCCACATAGAGACAAACGAGACAAACAACCATTCACTCTCTCACTCACACCTAGGGACAATTTAGAGTTACCAATCAGCCTAACATGCATGTTTTTGGACTGTGGGAGGAAACCGGAGTACCCGGAGAAAACCCACGCATGCACGGAGAGAACATGCAAACTCCACCCAGAAAGGCCCCTGGACCGGGGTTTGAACCAAGGACCTGCTCGCTGAGAGGCAGCAGCTCTACCAGTTGCGCCACCGTGCTGCCTACACATAAAGGTGTTAGATGCTAAGGCCATATCTCTACAGCTTTCTTCTTTTGTTCTTTCTGTCATTCTTTCTTTTGGTCGTTCTTTCCGTCGTTCTGTTCTTTCTTTCTGTCATTCTTTCTTTCAGACTTGGACTGTATTGGGTGTTTATCTGCAACAGACTCGTTGTCTCTTATTTAGTGACCTGGATTTGTTCATTTCTTCATTCAAAACCAAAGGAAAACCCCTGCTGGACTCTTTGGAAAAATGGGTTTATTTTAAAATTTTAAAGAGAGTTTGTAGAAGGAGAAGTTGTGCTTATTTTAGCTTTGAAAATAGCTACCGTATTTAGCTATTTAACAGTCACTAATGGTGTGCCACAAGGCTCAGTTTTAGGACCCACTCTTTTTGCAATTTATATAAACAATGTAGCTCAAAAGATAACATAGAACTTTATTGATCCCGCAGGAAATTGTTGAACATTCCTGACACCTTTCATCACTATGCTGATGATACAGTTGTTTATTGCCAAACCAACAGTTGCCAAGGTTTTTCAGCTTCTAAACTCTGGATTTGACATCATTCAGTCAGAACTGGTCCATCTCAAACTGGTGCTAAATGCTGAGAAAACCAAGGGGATGTCGTTTTCAAACTGAAAGTTTGTGCCGACAGTCCTTCCTCCTGTCTCATCCATGCATGATGTTCCTATTGAGTTTGTGGATTCCTACAAATACTTGGGAATGTTAATTGATGCACATCTCTATTTTAAGCCACATGCTGAAAACTTTATACAGAAACTGAAATTGAAACTGGGTTTCTGTTTCATTAATAGATCTTGCTTAACTCTGAATGCCAGAAAACACCTTGTAGCTGCAACTTTCCTACCAGCTACTCATTATGGTGACATTATTTAGTTCAAGAGGTTCAAGGTTCTTTATTGCCATTCACATCATATGTGGTACATGAGATGGAACGAAATTGTGTGCTCAAGGTCCCAGTTACACGCAAAAATATAAAGTATAAAAAAGAAACATTATACAAGGATTTAAGATATACGCTAAACAATAATAATGTGATATAGTATGCTGTATTAAACAGCAGCCTGAACCTGAGTCTGTTGTGAGTTGATGGTTATGAATACAGAAGCTTGAGGTAAGAAATCAGCAGCATGGATAATCGGCATGCCTCCTTGCAGATGTTGGATGCTGTCTACCATGGGGCACTATGGTTCATAACTGGTTGGAACTACCGTACCCATCACTGCACTCTGTACTCATTGGTCAGTTGGTCAGCATTAGCTACATGTAGGCTCTCACACTGGTTCATTTTCATCTTTAAATCATTCCTTGGTCTGCTGCCTTCATAGATCTACTCCCACATATCACGTCGTCAGTGCAGTTACGGCGTGCGCTCTCAGGAATTAATTACCTGCAACGTTCCCTCACTGTGGACTGAACTCATCAAAAAGGCCTTTTCTTACTCTGTTCCTGTAACCTGGAACACCTTGCAACAAGAACTGAAGCTGTCCATTTTGATTTCTTTAATGGATTTTAAAGATTTGATAAAATCTCTAGAAATATCAAAACAAATACGTTCCTGTTTTTAGTATTTTACCTTGTTTTGTATGGCATCTTGATTTGACTGTTTTTATAACTGCTTTTATTTTATTTTTATTTGCTTTTTGTGGAATTATTGTTGTCTGTACTTTATACGTTCTGTCTAAACTGGCCTCCCTTGAAAATGAGTCCTTGTGACTCAATGAGGCTAACCTGTATAAATAAAGGTTGAATGAATGAAAAACATTGAAACATTTTATTTTAGTTCATCCTCTTGGCATGTAAACTCAACATAATTAAACCTCGTGCCTCCAACCTGTTAGCATGTTCATACTTTATTTAATCAGGAAGCTTCACCTGCACTTGCGCCTCAAAGATCTTTATCTCTCAGGTGTGTTACCTGAGAGATAAAGATCCATCCTCTCCGTCTCCATGCAGCATTTTTTTCTTTGATGCCAAGACCTCTAACCCTTTGAGAAAGATGGGATTAAAAATGGAGGAGAAAATGTGTAAAGCTCACCGCTTTGGTCATCTACACCCTGGTACCCTGATCAGCTTAGAGTTTCTGTTTCACCCTGATGACAGCCTCTGGGAGCCATATTGATGGGTAGAAACTAGAGACAGGACCTCCCAGACTGCTCAGAACTGGAGCACAAAGGCCATCCGATGATAAAATTCAAACTATCTTCAGTTCATGACAGGTTGCCTCTGAATGACCCTCAATGCCTCTCCATCCCACCCAAAAAACAAAAAAACAATGACGAAGACTTATCGGGGAGGATAGTTTCAGGGCTTAACGGCTGAACTCTGAGGGGTTAGTGACACCAGGAAAAAGGTCCAAGTTCAAATGAATTATGCTACTAAAGAACCATGATTCTATCCTCAACCCTTTTTATGTTAACACAAAACCACATTAAGAAACACTGGCAAGAATGCTATTTAAAATTGGTTATAAATCTTACATTTATATGTTTGTAATGACATTTAAAAACCATCAGTGTCCGCTGATAAAGGCTTACATTTAAAATTCTACATCAACCCTTGTAATGGACTTTTGACCCTCCCTCTCACCCAATAACAGCAGTGATGGGCTCCAAACCATCCCCACCTCCAACAATAATCATACAGCAGGTGTGGAACAATGAATATTCATCCATTGACCTAAAATCAATACCAACGGATCATTTAGATTCACCGTAGTTGTGGCAATGCTGATGACTGTCTGAGCAAAGTCAGTATTAAGGTCAAAGACGTAGAAGTTTACAGCCCAGAAAACAAGAAAAGCTTAGAATCTCATCATCTTCCTGCTACGCCTCTGGTGGTAACTTCCACTCTTGATCAATGTAAGACCCAAAACTGATTCTTCCACATGGCTCTCTGTTGTTTCTTCCATCCTGGCTATAGGCACTTCTTTACTTTTAAGATTCAAAGAATAGCGGCGACTGGAAGTGTATGAATATGTTGGTAATGAGTTATCACACACCAGAAGCGGGACGTGTTTTTATTTAACTGTATTTTTGCAAACAACTACGACAGAAAGAAGCAGAGGAAGATATTAGAGTATCTACTTCAAACGAACACAAATGACCAGCGCAGAGTAAATCAGAGAAGCTTAAAGACCTGCTCATTGGTTTCAAATTAGCTACGTAGAAAAAGATTCTGGTCATATCCTGCACCAGTAGCAGCATAGTGAGATGAGAGGTGCCTGTATGGCATTCAGTTATGTCATTTATTAAAGTTGTATGGCAGTGTCTTTCTTGGTATGTTGATTTTGTTAAAGTAATTTTTTCCACATTAGAGCTCACTCGCTAAGAAGCTCAGTGTGAAGGTTTCACATTTTATTATATTTTTGTGTTTTGTATTTTGTTGGACGGCACGGTGGCTCAGTTGGTAGAGCTGTTGCCTCTCAGCGAGAACGTCGCCAGTTCAAATCCCAGCCCGGGACATTTGTGGAAGGAGTTTGCATGTTCTCTCCGTGCTGCGTGGGTTTTCTCTGGGTGCTCCGGTTTCCTCCCACAGACCAAAAACATGCATGTTAGGCTGATTGGTAACTCTAATTATCCCTAGGTGTGAGTGAGAGAGTGAATGATTGTTTGTCTCCATGTGTCCCTGTGATGGACTGGAGCCCTGTCCAGGGTGTCCCCTGTCTCTCGCACAGTGATTGCTGGACATGGGCACCAGTGACCCGAAATTGAAGAAGCGGGTAAAGATAATGGATGGATGGATGGATGACGTTCCGTCCTGTGTAGCTTTTTTTCCACCAAGTCCAGGTCAAATGACACGAAGCGAACATTCCTCGGTTTTCTTTTCTGAGAATACCTTTCTGGAGTTTATAAAATTTTCTGTTTGACACATTTCCTTTTGGATGTGGTTACCAGTTCAGATTAGATGAAAAAAGAAAAACAGCTTTATTTCTTTAAAAAATAGAAAGTCATAGTTGACGGACCCTACATTGCTGTACATGGCCTGATTCCTTGAAGCCTCCCCACTTGCATGTTATTTTTCTTTTAATCTCTGCTTTTAGGAGAGTTATTGTCTGTTTTTTATGTTGCACCTGACACATCCCAAGGTACGACCCGAACCACGGCTTAGACCATTACACCCCTCATGGTCATCCAACCACTTGGGTGGAACAATGGAGACCTTTTGGTCGGCTAGATGACTGCTACTTCTCAGTCACCAAGAGAAAAATGGATACTCTCCTATTTACAAGAATAAAACACAAAGGGGTTCAGGCCAAGACATGAAATTGTGTCTAAAATTCAGACAAAGGCCACCATTTCTGACCTCATTCAGGAATTGGTTATACGATTCTTTATTATTCTTCAAATCCATTCTTCTGCACAGTGAGGCTCATTTGCAGCCGGAACAGAATTACATCTCGGCACACTGGATGAAACCCCAGTGTTTGTCACGGCCAGTCACAACACATTTGGCCCCAACCGACATGTTCATCACCTTTTCATTGCAACACCTTCAAATGTGAGCCTGCTAAGTCGAAGAGTGACACATTTATTACATATTAATGATTTGTTTTGGCAGGAAATGGTGTTTTTTAGTGCTCAGAAACCAGCTGTCTTAGATAAATATTAATTAAAATGATTTTAAAACGAGGACGAGACAGTGTTTGGTGTTTGCGGTCATACTTGGTGTGCGTGTGTGTTTTGCAGGAACTACCATGTGTTTTATTACCTGTTGGCTGGAGCCAGTGAAGAAGAGAGGAAGACTTTCCACCTGCTCCAACCAGAGGAATACCACTACCTCAACCAGGTCTGCACAGAACAAACACACAGTAAATATATCCGTTCTGGGAAAAATCCAGAGGAGATTCATTGTACTGCCTGTATCCCATGAACAGATGAGTTCTCATTAAATAGAGCCTGACATCTTGCAGAGAAACTGATGTCGACAATGAAAATGAGCAGATTTATTTCTGTTTCTGTGTTTTTGCTCCTGTTTACTCGTTTATTAGAACTGTAGATCGTCACTTAGAAGTGTTGATTCAATCCGCCCACAGTGCTGGCTGGACGTGTGCACATGTTTGCACACATGCCAGACGCTCACATATGTGTGCGTGTTTTGCAGTACATCTGTTTGTGCTGGCAGTTGATGCTCCTGACATACAGCATCACACCGGGGAGGCTGCAGAACAACAAAAATTAATTTTTTTGCTCATCTCGATTTCTCAGAAAAACACAACCAAGAAAGGGATTGTATATATATTTTAATAGTTTTCCTTCAATCCCCTCAGCAACAACAACAATTCCCTCATTTGCTACCTGATACCATGCAGCTCTGTTTCCGTGGCAACAGGAAAACTCTGAGGAGAGTCTGGCACTGATGTTAATTTTGTGCAGAGTGACAGAAGTCACATGGTTAGGTGCATTCACACACATTTTTGTACAAATGCTCCTACAAAGGAGTAAAATGGTTATTCAAATTCAGACAAATGCCCTTCTCAGACTTCAACATCTTACTGTGTGTGTTGTTGCAATCATAAGAGTGGAGCTTTTGACAATAAGAAGAAATAAGCTTGTTCTAATAACACAACAACAATCCCATGATGCACTGGGCAACACTCTACAGGCTACAAAGTTAAAATAAATACAGTCGTGAAGATGATCATGTGTGAAAGCTCAGTTAACGTGTTTCCACTAGATGCGGCTTCACATGTTTTTGGACAAAGGTGAGCTTTATTTGAAGGCACCTGCGGTTGCCTAGGTAACGGTAAACAGCGTTAAAACCTCTTGAGTAGCTTTCTTTTGTAGAAATCCAACATGAAGAATGCGACTTCTCTGTTTACAGTGCAGCTCAACACAGTCATGTTTCAGGTAATGCCTTAAAGAACCGTGAACGCAGCTGAATCAACACGTCTGAAGTTTACTCTGAGCTTTAATAATAGTAAAGACACCGGAACTGCATAAAACCCACGTGCATATTTTAAATCTTTTCAAGTAGGGTCCTGTGAAAAGGTTTTTGAACAATTGATGTCTTGGCTGTTGTAGATGGCTCTTGCAACGATCTCAGATTGGAGGAAAATCTTTTCTCAAATTATGACTAGTCCGAGCGGCGCCAAGAGCAAACGGGATGCCTGCTGTTTTTAAACATGCACATTCTGTTTTCCAAGTCTTTGCATCACTGTCGGTTATCTCTGTAATATAAAATAAAGACGGAGTGATTTTCTGGACTGTAACTGAAAAGGGAATGCAAGTAAACCTTAATGTTTTTTTAGTGCAAGGTATTCAAAGTGGGTAGGAGTTACAGTGTGGAGATTTTTTACATTTTATTTTCTTGTCCAAGGCAGCGCTGAGTGACGGATCCTGGTGAGTAGAGGGGGCAAGTTTATCCACGACCAGGTGCAATGGCAGAGCAAGGGGGTGGACATTGGTGGCCTTGGCCACTATAGATTAATGTTTGGCCACCACAGTGTTTCCCCTAGGTCAATTGCCTTGGCAGGGCGCTCATGTTTTCTAGAACTTTTGTCGATGGCGAGGGGGGGTAGAGGGTGGAGCGAGAAGAGAAGCAGAGCGCTACGTCTGTCTCTAGCTTAGTGCTACGTCAGTGCCAGCAGTTCAGAAGGCAGGACGCTCGGTTCTGTTGATGGGGCAGGGCGCCCTCCTTGGATAACGAGGTAGGTGAGACATTGCTATTCTTTTGAGGATACTTTTAAACAATATAAATACTAGAAAGCATTGTTTTCAACCAGTTTGACAAGACTGCCAACAAGGAAGAGGGCCGGCAATGGAGGAGGGGGCGTACCAAAGAGACCATCTTATCACAAGCAGAACTGGTTTGTTCCACTTTGGAGTAAGCTGTTGGGGGAAGAATCAGTTTTGTTGTGCGTTTCCTTGACTGATGAAGCCTTCTGGATGGAAGGCGAAACGTTTCAGCACAAAAAAAAAGAAACCGTCCAGATGAGCAGACTGAAAAATGTTGGGTTGTATACCTGGATTATTGAGCATGGACTTCTTTGACTAGAAAGTATAGTTTCTTCAAATGACTGGGGTGATCAGTTTACATATAGCACGTGGCAGCACGACGGCTCAGTGGTTAGCACTGTTGCCTCACAGAAAGAAGGTCTTGGGTTCAATCCCTGGTTGGACCTGGGGTCTTTCTGTGAGGAGTTTGCATGTTCTTTCTGTGCATGCGTGGGTTTTCTCCGGGTACTCCGGTTTACTCCCACAGACCAAAAACATGCATGTTAGGCTGCCTTCAGGCTTAGGCCTCCCTTGCAAAAGATCTCAATGGGATTTGCCCGGTTAAATAAAAAGTTAATAAATAAAATAAACTATATGGTGGTGGCCATCTTGGATTTTGATTTGGCAACCCACTTTTCCAATGAATCCTTTCTTACACCTAGCTGCAACCACACACCAAAATAGAAGTCAGTACCTCTTATTTTTTTAGGTTTTCATGCTCACAATGTGCATGGACAGACGGACAGTGTTTACTATTCCACCTCTTCGCTCCACAACAGGGACAATAACAGACTGAAGTGATATTCACTATGATGTAATGGTTTGCAAAACAGTGGTTGCACGTCCCACTATGTAACTTTTTAGACGGACTTCAATATTTCCCCCTTTATCAGCTCCCTTGCCGGGGGGCTCGTTGTATGTTTTTTTTTTTTGGTCTACAGGGGTGTGGGCGGGGGACAGGACAGAGTCACGTCTGTGCTGCCCGCCTGCTAGCTTAGTGCTACGTTGCTGTTGGTAATTGTCAACGGGGTGGGGGGTTGGGGGGGGGGGTTTGCAGAGCTGCACGTCAGTAGCATTTTTCAAGCGCGTTTGTATTGCGCCCCGTGCTACATCAATACTGATGGGGGGGGTTGGTCGGCAGGACGCTCGGATTATATAATGGTAGGGGTAGCGCTGGACTTTATTTTAAGTGGTAAACAATCCACTTTGGTCTCGGCCTCACTTCAGGTAGATGTCAACTCATTTTGCTCAGAATTAAACAGAAATCCTACAAACTGAGGTCGTTCAGCGAGCCATCTACAACAGGTAAGATATTAGTAGCTAACTTTTCCACAGATTGGGGCTGCAGTAGCTCGGTGGACAGCACCACGATCTTCTAATTCTGGCGCTGGAGGTTTGACCCCAGGTTGTACCAGGAAGGGCATCCAGCATAAAACGAGAAGTTTTTCATACGAGTATTGAGACTGTGGTGACTCCTACAGAAGGGAGCAGCAGAAAGAAGAACACCTTGTCCACAGAACCCCACTCCAAAAGATCTGAACCATCACTTTAGAAGTATTTTTTCCTTCTGTTGAGTATTTTTATGTAAGTCTTATAGAAGATGTACTTACTGTCTCACCGTTCCATTATATTTAGGTAGGTATGCACAATATTGGATTTTTGGCCGATATGTTAAAACTTATTTGGCCGATAACCGATACCGATATTTTTATATACTTTCCATTGTCAGAACATAGCCCTCTTATTTACGTTTATTTGCTACAAAAATTGTGTAACAGCTGGTGACATATATTCAGTAACAGTCATATGATATGCACAGCACTTTAACTTCTATTAAATGAAAAGTGTTAAAGTGTTAAATGTTATTAGCATTAGTCACCTGCGATGCTGTCTCACATGTGGAGGCTTGTTCCAGGTTCCTATAGCTGCAGTGTGGGATCCTCTGCACTCCTGTGCATGAAGGACAGACTTTTTAAGTCCAAAGTTTTTGTCTCTCCATTGTGCCATAAGACTGATCATGCTAACTGTGCTAACACGACGTCCAAATGTCTGTGGTAAAACTCACCCAAGTGCTATCGGCTATTAGCTTCTCAATGACGTCGGAAATGACGGCTTGTAACTCGGGTAAGGCTACATCGTAAAAATCTGACTGGGGACGATGTAGCGAGGCTCAACGCAGTCCAAAAATCTTAGGAATCCAATATCCTCAACGAATAAAAACTTCTACACCACCAACATTTTGACTTCTTCCTCTCTGCCGTGATCAGATCAGGTAGGCACGCGTGACGTCATCATGTTGTGCTGACGCTGCAGGCATTACTGGGTTGTCACACAAAAACAGTGTCTTTTATATCGGTGAGTTATTTTGATGGAATGGTCGATGTTGACGCCAACATTGGCCGATACCATGCTGATAATATTGTGCATCCTTATATTTAAGCTGTGTCTGTGTTGGAGGTTTAAATATTTCTTTATTGACTCTCAACCAGCAGGTTTTGTTTTTTGTCATATAATTTGTTGGACTTGAGTGTAACAATCCCCGTTTCATTTATTTATTTATTTATTTTAACCCACTCTGCCTTGCTTCCAGATGACAAAGAGAACGCACAAACTCCACTGGGACAATTGCGTTGAGACTGATCCGGTCAGTATCATGACGAGTTGTGCGTGTTTGTGTCGTGCTGCTTTGGGCTTTTGGTGCCAGTCTCGCCGTTTCTCGTGCATCCACACCCATCTGCTTTTCTGTGAAATGGACTAAAGACGGTCTGGGCTCAGCTGGTTGCGCCGAATGAGGAGCTGCTTCTCGAATGTTTGAAGGGAGACTTTATCTGAGTCTTTATGTCCGATCAGTTTACTCCCAGAAGCTCAGCGAATGAACGTTTTATCAAAACATTATACAGAGTTATCTGTTCTGTATCTATCTGATTACCTTTATCGTTACTTTGAAACATGAAGACACAGTTGGAGTCTCTCCAAACAAAGCTTTTCTGTGATTTGCTGCTAGATGATGATTGGCTGAGAATTTTCTGGATTTATTACATTATAGCTTTATCAGCAGGCAACGCTGAAGAATTAAACACAAAATAGGTGGAAGATTTAAGTGAACCTTTTCTGTTTGTTTATCTGAATTCCTACTCTGCAGGTACTGATATCAAAGCATGAGCAGAATAGAAGAACAGGAACAGAAGAAGTGTCCTTGTGTGTTTAGAAAGAGGAGAACCGTGAAAGAGTCCACTCCCAGCTGCTTTCATACTTAAAACAGAACTCTGTTATAGTTGGAAAAGTTACAAAAGATCTTTTGTTGCAAGCTTTGGTTGCTTTGATGATTTCGACGGCGATTTAAAATTTACAAGTTGTACTGGTGCCATTTTTATAAGATGTAATCTTTTTTTATATATTATTTGTTTGTTCTCTTAAAGCTTCACATCTTGAAACTTCTCAACAAGATGTGTGTGTGTTTGCTGGTTCCCTGTCATCCACCTGAAGCGTGTAATGTTTGGTCAGTGGGATTTGTTGTGTGCGTGTGTAAAAGATTCGGTCTCTCTTAACGGGAGATTAAATTCTTCTGACGTTGCCGATGAGCAAACAAAAAAGACGTGAGGATTGGTTTGTAGAAAAACAATTGTTAGTTCTACTGGATTTTATTTTTGGCTTTGTGTCCTACTTTTTCTCAAACTGCATTTTTTTGTTCTGTTTTGGTAATTGTAGTTGTTTAGCTCTTCAGCAGATCCACACAGGAATAAAATGAGCCAACCAGCAGTTCAAGTCTGACCTTGATATATGCTATATATACATATATACTATATATATATATATATATATATATATATATATATATATATATATATATATATATATATATATATATATATCATACAGTCATAATTTCTGGACTATTGAGCACATCTGACTATAAGCCACACCCACAAAATGAAATAAAGCATATATAATTTATACTTATATAAGCGTAGGGCTGGGCCATTTCATATTGTTCATGATAATACCAGTAAAAAAAGCTTGCCCGGGCAAAAAAATTATATCATGATATGCTAATTTCATGACGTAATACGTCAAGCGCCCCGCCCCGTTAACAGAACCGAGCGCGCCAAACGAACAAACCGAACTGCGCGCACCCCCCCCACACACACACACCTGTTGGTACTGGCGTAACGCTAATTAGTTGTGCGCAATACTAGCTAGCTATAAAGCTAAAAACAAACACCGGGCGGCTCAGCTGCATCTCTCCATCCAGCTCTAAACTGCAGGTACAGACAGCTCAACTGTCTCTCCCTCTCCCCCCACACCCTGCACTGAGCTGCCGGTGCGGGCGCAGCTTTCGGCTGCGTCTCCATCGCTCTAAGCTGCCGGTACAAACGCAGCTAGTCTTTTTTTTTTTTTTCTCTCCCCCCACCCTGCTTTAAACTGCCAGTGTTACACCATCTGTACAAACACGCGCAGGTCTGTCTCTTGAGTTCCACAGTCCATGGACCAAGAATAGAGTCAGGTGATCAAAGACAGAGCATCAGAGAAATTAATCATTCCTGCAGGAACAGAGGAAGCAGAAACGCCACAAGCTTCAGGGTCAGCTGATCACCTTGTTACAAGTTCTGGAAGTTATAGCTCATTTAAAGGCAACATATATTTGTTCTACGTTACATTTACGCTCAACAGATCTTAAGCTTCATTTTATTTTATTTAGTTATTTTGGGAAACTTCTCCTGCACTTAAGTTTTTGTGGTGGATTTATTGATCTATATTTTGTGCAGACTTTTTCAATCTAAATAACAGAAGGATATTTTTTTATTTTTATACTTGGAGACTGAATACTTTACTAAATGAATTTCAGTAAAATTACCCCTTGTTTTTTTTTAGTTTTTATATAATATTGCAAAGCAACATGTTAAGTTAATTTTGTCAAATGAATAACATTTCTGTTTTTTTTTTTTTTTTGGTTATATCATGAAATTTCTCATTATCATCAGAATGCTCTGAAATATCACGATATTATATTTGAGCCATATCGCCCACCCCTATATAAGCCGCACTCGTCTATAATCCGCGTCATCACGCAGCTGACTTTCGAAACCTGTTGGTGATGGAGGATTTTGTTACTCTGCTCCGCCGTCGGGATCCACTGGCAAACTTGAACAAAACTCGCCTTTCGCATGCGGCCAGTTTTGGTAAACGATTTCTTGCCGCTAGTCATCCAAGCCTCCCACTGATCTCGGGAGTGCCATTTTAAAGGCTGTGCCTCTTTTATGATTGTCCATTGTTGTCATCACTCTTTGTTGAAATCAGGTCTCTCTTGTAAATGAGTCCTCGAGGCTCAATGGGATTAACCTGTCTAAGTAAAGGTTGTTAGCCCGTCAAAAAAAAAAAATCCTTAAAATTAGCCGCCGTATTGTCTTTGTGTTCAAAGCGTGTGAAAAAAGTAGCGGCTTGTATAGTCCGGAAATTACAGTATATTTATGTTGCAACACTGTCTTTACATTTCTCACATCATTACTGTAGAAAAATCTCCACCATCCTGCCCAGCTGAATGAAGGCTGTTCAGCATTTTATTAGCAGAATGAGGTTTCTGGAACTCACCGAGCCAATTTAGCTGCAGAAATGGTTTTAAACATTTCTGTGGGAGCTTTCATGAAGGATTTTTGGAATAAATGCTCCTATTGTGCATTTGTGCTGACTGCAGCTATTGCACTGGGCACAGAAAATTATGTTTTTATAAACATGCTTACTTCTTCCAACAATAACTGACATCAGAAAGCTTTTGCAAATGCACTAAAAGTAAAATGAGAATTAATCTTTGTCTGTAAGGAAAGAAACATTTTATTTTGACTGGCAATGAAAAGTTAAGTACCACGCTGCTTTCTAGCTTTGTATCGGGAAGAATCACTTTTTGGATATGGAACTTTGGTGATCACTGCAGTCGTATCAGACCTGATGAGCACAAATGAACATAAAGATCCTTAACTCATGAAAACATCAGTCTCTGGGTAGCTCATTGAAGAACAGTTTGAGAACCATCACTAAATCAACTACAGCGTTTCTAAGACCTGATGCTTTTTAAGACTTGTCTGGTTTTCCACAAACTGCATCTCCTAACTATTGCAAGGCTGCTGCTGAATTACTTACTAACTGCAGGATGGTTCAGAATAGTAGAAAGTAAAATAAATAAATAAATCAAATGCTGATTTCTCCCATCAGTGATGGTTGATATATTTAGCCAATTATCCAACCCTAATGTTTTTTTTTTAAATAAGCATCCTTAGTTTTGACATGTATTTGGTCGTGTATAAATATAAAATCAGAAAATTTGCAAGATAATGAGGTTTTAATTTTCTGTAAGTTTATTTGTGCATAAAAAAATTGGGATGCTGCTTTTATTCCAATGTTCTTGTTAAGCTAGGCAAACCATTCTTTATAAAAAGCTAAGCTAACTATCACTCCTGTTAGTAAACTAACCATTCATTGTGCTAAGCTAGGCTAACCATTCCTCATGCTAAGCTAGGCTAATAATCTCTTCTGCTAAGCTAAACTGGCAATTTTCATGATATTCTAAAAATGGTTAGCCTCTAAGCTAGGCTAACCATTTTTTCATAAAAAGCTAAGCTAAATGCTCATTTTGCTAAGTTTGGCTAATCATTCTTCATGCTAATCTACGCTAACCATCGCCTCTGCTAAGCTAGACGCATTTTCCATGGAGTTCTAGGACAGCTGTTCCCTAGGCTAACCATTCTTGTGCTAGGTGAGGTTAAGTAAGTGTTATCTGTTTTCATTGTATGTTCCCATACAGTGATGAAATTAGTTCTCTGTTTTTTACCCATCACACCTGGTGGAGCAGTGGGCAGCTATGTAAGCACTTGAGGAGCAATTGGGGATTAGGTGTCTTTCTCAGAGACACCATGACGTGGGCATGGCGGGAAGTCGGACTGTGACTTTCTGGCCCCAGGTCAGCTGCCCTACCTCTACACATCTCAGTCCCCTGTCATTCCTCCTGCAAAGCTAGGCTACCCATTCCGCTTGCTAAACTAGGCTAACCGCACACCTTTTTCTCCCAAGTTTTTAATTGATATTGACCTGTTACTTGGTTTGCTTTTTATCTGACTTTTCCCCAAAACAACTGTTTTAGGCAGTCTTTCCTAACTACAGTAGTCATACTAGCACTTGATTCTTGCACAGGTAGCCCAGTAGATTAATTCACTCGATCATTTTAAAATATTTCTTGCACTGCGTCTTCCACCGGCTCTTCTCTGTCAACTAAATTCTTTCCCTCTCACTGTTTGCTGACCCATCGTCTCCCATAAAAGGTCACTCTGTGACCTCACCAGTCTGACCCCACTGTCCACGGTGATGATCTCATTATTTTTGTACAAATGCACAAAGACCGGCTGCTTTTGACAGCTGTGTCTGAACATGGGACCTATCATCTGGGCCCTTTTAACCTCTGACCTCTCCCAGCGGTCAATAGAGCTGCCCAACATTTTGTGTACAAGGGTCAACAGATTCCAGATGAAATGTCTGGAACTATAATTAGAAAAGAAACAATTGGGAATAGAAAAATAAAAAAAGTGACTCGTTGCAAACAGATCCCAAAGACCAAACATTTGGTAACGGATGAGCGCCGTTGGCTGTTTGGGTTTTTGCGGGATTGGGATTCTGTGCTTGTTTGGGTGTCTCCTCCGAGCTTTGGTTGTGTGGAATGTCTTGCAACGGGGGTGCATGCTGCATTTGCTATATTTAGTGCTAGTTTTAACTCGGCGACTTGATGACATAAATCATGTCTGGCTCACGGTAAGTAACAGCCCAGTGTGGACTGAATGCCTTTAGCTTTTACCATTCTTGACTAATCTGTTGAAATGCTTGATCTGCATGAGTGGCACTCTTTCTTTCTTTTTTTTGTCAAGCCTGCAACAGTTTAAGTTGTGTAAAGTTGCAACTGTAAGTGAGAAATTACATTTTACCTTAAAAAAACACACTTTTTCTTGATCGTCCTATCAGGTATGTTTAAAGCCCTAATAAACAGAGGTTTTGGTTTTTAACCAAAATAATCCATTGCTGCTGCTAAATTTGATCTCTTTATTTTCTCAACTTCCTTGAGTGTATCACGTTGTGCTGTCTGTTGCTGAGGTTGAGCATAACGGGCAGTTTGAAAACGTGTCTTTCCCAGATCTCACCGTTAGCTCCAGGAGCCACAAACCTTTTTTTTTATTGTTGCAATTGGAGAAGAGCACTGAGCATTTGTCTCTGCTGTTCCTGATAACTTCCAAGCCAAAAAGGAAAACAATAGAGAGGCGAAGGAGTACAGAAGGAGCTGATCCCGAGTGTGAATTATAGGTTCCTGTGTCTTCTCTCGCTGGCCGGTCGCTGTGGTATGTGCTAATTACAGCCTGAGAGCGGCTCGCTGCCGGAGCACAGACATGCTGACAGACTGGAAGGCTTGAAGAGACACAAACACACGCATGATTTATAAATACTCTTCCTTACACTCCTCTAGTTAACGTCGTCGCTCTTTTTAAAAATTTTAGTACCTCAATCATGGCAGCAGTTATTCATCTCAAATTTAGGAACCACTGGTTGATATCGGTGTCTCCAGATTACACAGGAATGTGCTCGTGGTCGTTCAGCAGGGTTCCCCTGCTGCACAGCTGCGGTTTTCTTCTCTTCTACTGAAATAAACTATGAAAATGATACGTTTTCCTTAGCATGATGACATGCTGATTCCAATTTTACCATCAGGTAACTCCTACTTGATACTTTCCTAGCTTCGATGGTTCGAATTAGTAACAAACCAACAAACAACAAAGAAAACAGTTGAAAAGTATCTTAAAAACAGAAAGAAGCTAAAATTACCAGAAGGGAGTGGAGAGAGCACAGTTTCCCTGTACTGAGCTGAAAAAAGTTGAAATTAATTAAATCAAATATGGGGTTAGCTGAAAAAGCTAAGATTAGTGTTAGCATAAAACAGCTAAATAGTAGCTGAAATAGCAGAAAAGCTGAAACGTGCATAAATAAGTTGAAATAAGCAGAAAGAAGTTAATGACGCATAAAAATGTAGTTAGCAGAATGAATGTAAAAGGATCACAAAACAGCTGAAAGCAGCTGAAAAAATGTTTAAATTTGCACAAGGAAGCTGAAAGAAGCTAAACCTGAACAAAATGTGAAAGGAGCAGTAAAAGGTTGTAAACTGAAATAATGTAAATGTAAACTAATGGTTGCTGTATTTTATATATTTCACTCAAAACACCTTTTTTTAATTCATGATTTTTTTTTTTAGGAAACCTCACTTGTCAAATACAACCACTTACTCTTAACTGGACAATTATTCAATACACGGAGTCATTAGTTTCTTTAAGGTTCAAGTTTTCGTGTTGCAGCCTGTCTGTCTTTTTGTGTAACTGTTGACTTTTGATTTTGTGTTTCCTCCCATCGCCAGCATGACTGCTTCACAGTGGAAGGAGAGGACCTGAAACATGACTTCGAGAGGCTTCAGCTGGCCATGGAGATGGTCGGCTTCCTCCCCACTACACGCAAACAGTGAGATTGTCTAGACCCGAGTTCTTCAACAAAATATGCTGCAGGGCAAAAGTATTTCTAATCAGATAACTTTGGACTGCTAGTTATCTTAACGGAAACTAAATAGATTTAATGTACATTTTAACATTTTAAAAGCATCAACTTTTAGCTCTTTTCAAAAAATACTTTGTGGCCAAACCTGAAACTTCTTTTCATGTCTCTGAGTTATTTATGTGACGACCAAGGCAACATGATGGGTTTGAAGTCCATCTACCACTGGTACACCGCTGAGTGGGCAAGGGATGTAGTCACAGAGCGGAGTTGGCGAGCGTTTCTGAACAACACTGCCGTCACTCACTGGTTTAGATTTATTGTCATATGCAGGTCAACACAAGGTCAACACAAGGTCAGCAATACAATTAAATGTTCAGGATGAGAAGAACCGTCTCGACTCGCCAAAAAAAACCCAAGAAATAACGAAGCATGTAACAAAAATACAAAAACAAGGCGACAAAAGTGAAAATCTACAGCAGCAAGGTCCTATTAGCAGAGTGGTTCTGTTAGCAGCGTGGTCTTGTTAGCGGCGTGGTCTTGTTATTGGTGTGGTCTTGTTATTGGTGTGGTTTTGTTAACAGTGTGGTCCCGTTAGCAGCATGGTACTGTTAGCAGCGTGGTCTTGTTAGCAGCATTGTCTTGTTTGCGGCGTGGTCTTGTTAATGGCGTGGTCTTGTTAGCGGCGTGGTTTTGTTAGCAGTTCGGTCCAGTTAGCGGCGTGGTCTTGTTAGCAGTGCGGTCCCGTTAGCGGCGTGGTCTTGTTAGCGGCGTGGTCTTGTTAGCGGCGCAGTCCCGTTAGCAGCATGGTACTGTTAACAGTGTGGTTCTATTAGTGGCGTGGTCTTTTTAGCGGCGCGGTCCCGTTAGCAGCATTTTACTGTTAGCAGTGTGGTTCTGTTAGCGGAGTGGTCTTGTTAACAGCGTGGTCTTGTTAACGGCGTGGTCTTGTTAGTGGCGTGGTCTTGTTAGCAGTGAGGTCCCGTTAGCAGCATGGTACTGTTAGCAGTGTGGTTCTTTTAGTGGTGTGGTCTTGTTAACAGCGTGGTCTTGTTAGCAGTGCAGTCCCGTTAGCAGCATGGTACTGTTAGCAGTGTGGTTCTTTTAGTGGTTTGGTCTTGTTAGCGGCATGGTCTTGTTAGCAGCATGGTACTGTTAGCAGCATGGTACTGTTAGCAGTGTGGTTCTGTTAGCGGCGTGGTCTTGTCAGCAGTGCGGTCCCGTTAGCAGCATGGTACTGTTAGCAGTGTGGTTCTTTTAGTGGTGTGGTCTTGTTAGCGGCGTGGTCTTATTGGCGGCGTGGTCTTGTTAGCAATGCGGTCCCGTTAGCAGCATGGTACTGTTAGCAGTGTGGTTCTGTTAGCGGCGTGGTCTTGTTAACAGCATGGTCTTGTTAGCAGCATGGTTTTGTTAGCAGCATGGTTTTGTTAGCAGCGCGGTCCCGTTAGCAACATGATGATAATGACGACCGCTAAAAAAGTTAAAACAAGAGGAACAAAAAAGAGCGAGTCGAAGCGAAGCTCCCATCGGTGCTGCCGTACTGCAGCGCACGTGAAGTCACAAATGACGTCTGACTGCTCGTCTAGTCTTCATTAATTACAGAAGCACAACTCTATAGACTGATCAAGCTAGTTAAAATGAGTTTAACTTGTAGACTCATCATGTTAGCTCGTTGTGCCAGCTCTAATCAGATAGAAAGTGGTAACTCGGTGCATTTATCGTTCGTAGTAATCTACATGTGGAAGTGACAACAGAAGTGTTTTTCTTGTCAGGATTTTCTCCCTGCTGTCAGCGATTCTCCACCTGGGAAACATCCGCTACAAGAAGAAGACCTACAGGGATGACTCCATCGACATCTGTAACCCAGAGGTCCTGCCCATCGTCTCAGAGCTGCTGGAGGTGAGAACATCGCTCAGACTTTTTACCATCTCTGAGGCAACAGTATTCGAATTCAGTGAAATGCTTTATCACGTAAAAACCCACAGGAGAGCGTGTGCTCATTGACACGCCTGACACAAAGTATTACTTGTCTTCCTTGGTTTATTTTGGAATTCAGCTTGACTTCATGGATGATAAAATGAAGAACAGAAGCAGGACTTCTGATTATTCTGTCTTTCTGTTTTTCTGCTGCATTCTCTCATGCTGCATCCATTTGAGCGTACGAGTTTGTTCCACAAAGTTGTCCCATTATCCAGTTCGTTTATAAAGTACTCTTTGTGTAAAAGTTGTGTTCGGAACACATCAGGTTTGGTAGGTTTGATCAATTTGCATCGTATTTTGCAGATTGTGCAACAAATGCAACTCAAATGAAACACAGCAGGAACAAAAGTGACAGAGAATTGTTTTCTCAACGTGAGATGAGTTCTCATAAAACCGTCGTTAAAATCTGACACTCCTCACAGGAAGGATGGATGGATTATACTTTTCCTGACATTCCAGCCCTCCTTTACAAACACATCAGTGCAACATCTTTGATCCAATTCTTTTTTTTTTCTCGCCCTGGGATGCAGTTACTGCCAACTTTTAGGGGATGGTGCGTACAGTAGTCTTTCGCTACTTCGCGGTTCATTTTGCGCAGACTCGCTCTATCGCTGTTTTTCAAAGTAAGAGTGGACATGACATACAACTGGCTGATTGGTGGATGAGCCGCACGATCGGCATGGAATTTTGATTTAAAATTAAATTATTTTAAATTATTTAGCACCTGCTGCACCTTTGTGCAGCCCACAACTGCAGGAGAAGCTTCCTCCTGCAGCGGAGAAGTGGGCGTGGCCAAGAGCGGCAGATGGCAGAGAGCTGAAGTCATGACATTCTGTGCTTTTTTAGAGCGTTTACAGTACAGCACAGTGTGAGGCGCATCTTTTTTATGAGAATTTTTAACATTTAGAAATATACACGACATTCTCATAGATGTCCACAAAAAATTGGCAATCTGTTGATGAGTCTTGGTCTTTTTTTATTGTTAATGAATTTTTTTTTAAACATCATTCTAGTTCAGTGTTTGCTTTTTTTTGTTTGTTTGTTTAGCTTTGTTTCAAATTTTGAACCAAAACACTTCTATACCTCAAAGCTTTGTGTAATAGCCTTTCCCTGTTGATCTAGATGGATTTTCGATGACAAGTTCACATTAAATCGTATTTCTTTTCACACATTGCAGAGTGAGCTCGTCTAACGGGGTCATTGAGAGCGTATCAATTTTCTCTGCAGGAGCCTGTTTCTGTTTGAAACTAGTTCACACTGAGTTCTCCCCCAGCATCTAACCTTTGCGTTAGATTAAAGAAGTCAAACAGGCTCAAACTATTCAAAGACTGCATCACACAGAATCTGAAACAGTTGCATGGTCACTGCTTTTTTTTTAAATATATTATTTTTTGTTTATTTAGTGGAGAGAAGGAAGGACAGCTGTGCGTTGTCATCATTGTATGTTCCCATTCATTGATGAAACTGGTTCTCTGCATTTTACCCATCACACCTGAGATACACCCAGGAGGAGCAGTGGGCAACTATGTAAGCGCCTGGGGAGCAGTTAGGGATTAGGCGTCTTGCTCAAGGGCACGACGACATGTAAGCATGGTGGGGAGCTGAACCCGTAACCCTCTGGTCCCAAGTCGGCTGCCCTACCTCTACACCATCTCGACCCTTATATTTTAGGTTATCTGTCTTGTTGTAATCAAAGCACAAACTGAAGCTTAAGTTCAACATTCTGTGACCC